GAACAGAACTTCCCGGGCCCCCCAGCCGATATCCCTCTGGTCAGTACAGAAACACACAGCAGACACAGGTGCTACCTTCAATGCTTCCTGCATGCTGCCAAGCCAGGCAAAATTAGACGACGACAATCCCTAGGTGGCCACGTACAGACGATAATGAGCTCCCGGTGTCCACAGAATCAGTACAGGTATAAAGAAGTGTCATCTGAACCTCTCGACTGTTCACCTATGTGCAGTCTGGAGAAGTATGATCTCCCCTTCAGCCAAGAGTAGACCCGAAGCACTGCCTCAGGTCATAGTTTATGAGCAGAAATGAGTGAAATGCTGTCCAGTACATGACTGGTGTCAGCAGCAACAGGTAGATCTTTTCCTAGGAGGAAACCAGCCCCCCAGTGCAGTGGTGTGGCCCACTGAGGGGGAGGGGGTTTAATAGTTGGTGGGGAACAGTGGAGATCTACGGCACAGAGCGATAAGCTGGACCAGGGTCTGGACTCATTATGGCCACATTCACTGGGGCTAACTCACTATTTTCTGCCGTGTACTCAATGACAGTATGGCGAGAAGGAAGTCGGTGTGTTGCGGTGGTTCTGCTCTGGAAGTCACACTGAGCGTCCTGTTCATCCTCATGACGGCTGTGTGTGTGACGCTGATCGCACTGATGGCTACCTGGAAAACGCACGCAGGTGAGGACACATAGTAACAGTAGATAAACACACTGACAACCAGAACCGGAAACATAAAACAGAGACTTGCAGGTTTTGTTAAATAAAAACTCAAAATATTCATTAAAGCAGCAAATGTTGATTTATCTGAGGCTTAAAATTGTTCCTCAAAATACTGGGAAATGATTGTTTTCAAAATGAAACTATATATTTGTAAAATGTTTTAATTAGGTCATCTTTGGCTACCATCTATTGCTTTGCATTACACATGAGATTAATTGAAAATAAGAAACTATAGAATAACAAAGAACAAATTTACACCTTAAAATTGACTCCCAGCTTAATTTCAGTAATTATTTAAAGTAGCAAAACATCTTTGACTTGATCTCTTCCAGCCATTCTTTCACAGTTTGTTTCAGACACTTTAGTTGTTTCAAAGCTGTAAAAGGTCAAACGTTCACTCTGAACACCTGGAAAATTCATTAATATGAAGCTTTAGCTGCAGTCAGACATCCTGTGGTCGTCAGCTTTACATGATGCTTTCTCTGCAGTAGAAACGATAGACTCAGAATAAAGTCGTGTTCAGATGTAGGTGTGTTTGCCTGCTGGTGCTCTGAGCTCTGAATGTGTGTTGGCTTGTCATGTTTACTGATTGTTTTCTGGAGACAAAGGGCTGTTCGCTGACCCACATTACATGAACACTGGTTAACCAGTAAATGCCAGGACTCAGTTGTGGTTGTGGGAGAAGGCCGGAGTTTGTCTCCAGCTAATAATGTATGTGTTTCCAGCTGTGGTGTGTCTGTGTGATGGCGTTAAGTTTGGCCAGCTCTGCAATGGAAACCCTACCAACAGCAGGAGGACGAGTGACCGCTGGGGACAGGGACACTACGGAGCCAGACGGTAACACAACAATATGACACCACAACACTGAGTCTCAACACGTAAAAGTCTTGGTTTCTAAAGCACTTCATAGTCTGACTTTGAGTCTCTGAGTCTTTGAGACTTTCAATTTTTCTGCTCCCAGCTGTTCTGAGAGCAGCTCAAGGTGTTGATGCTTTTAAACACAAAGCTGCTACTGGAGCTGATTCTAAGCCCTAAGCCACTAAAATGACCTAAATCCAGCAGTCAGATTTCGAACAAAGTTGGTGCCAGCAGTCAGCCGAGTACACCAACCCAGCTGGTTGCCACTGATACAACTCAGTCAGCTGACACATATTGGATATGACGTCAGACATGAAAATACAAATCATCATCTACTACAGCTGCTCCAACATTCCACAGATAGTCTAGCAGTAAACAACTGATTTGTTGCTCTCTGTTCTCCACTAAATCTCTACATTTTAAACACTATAAAATGAATAGATTCATTAGAAAATTAAAACCAGATGAACTGACCATGAGACCAATCATAAGCTGCAGCATGTGTGCCTGTGACGCAACTGTTAACAGCCGGATATCCCCCGTGTTTCAGAGGAAACAGGGAGCACAAAGGTCTGGACATCAAGTGCAGTGATGGATCTGCCGTCTATGCACCGTTTGACGTAACTCTCAATGGAAGGGCCATCCCCTACGGCGACCCCAACAAGGCTGCCATCGACAACGGCATCAACCTGAGAGGAAAGGGTGGGTCCATCACACCAGCAGAATCCTGATCCTGTTATTAGTTAAATGATTGATTAATTGATGCTGTGGCCTGCAGGTCTGTGCTTCAAGTTGTTCTATGTGAGTCCAGACCGAACCTCCGGGTCAGTGAGGAAGGGGCAGAGGATCGGCACCATGCTGCCCATGCAGAGCGTTTACCCAGGGATCACCTCACACGTCCACGTCCAGATGTGCGACAGGAGCAACCCCACCCGGTACTTCTGATCGCCTCACAGGACATCCACATTTCCTGCTGGTCTGCAAACTGCTGTAATAAACTAAAAGCATCTAAAGTGGAGTTTTCCTGTGGTTTTTCAATAACTTTGCAACAACACAAACACAGTGCCAGTCATATGCACAGGCCTTTTGTATGTATACCTGACAAGTAAATGTCCATGTTATTACTCCTACTTAAAAGATATTGTCACTGAGTGTGTATGCAAACAGGTCAGCAGTCAGCTGATGTAAGCTACAGACTGTTTATATCTAATGTACTGAGCTTTAAAAGGCATCATCTAAATCCAACCAAGGCCAGATATGTTGTTAGGGTGATTTTCATTTTTAGATAGAGATGAATATAATTAGTTGGTGTTTTTATTATATAGCATACATACGTTTATATATTTTAATCTCACAGTTGTGTTTATGTTTATGTAGTTACATATCTATATATCTGGTTCACTAAAACACTGAAATCTCATTAGATTTACAGCTTTAGCAAAGAGGGTCCACAGATACTTTATTACCATACTGCTTCACTAAAACACTGAAATCTCATTAGATTTACAGCTTTAGCAAAGAGGGTCCACAGATACTTTATTACCACCACCTGGCTAATGGGCCAGGGGAGCTATAGTTTATTGGAATTCCTTGAATAGTTGAAACAGAGACTAGATAAGAGGAAGCAATATACACACACAGGCAGAGCAGTTCCTTGGAAACAAAGGAAGACATAAGTGTTTATGTAGGAATTAAGACAGTATAGGTATTCCTCCCTTTTTAGGGCGCTGTCCATGACCATTGGAGCAGAGAGGATGATTGGAGGATGGATGGACTGAAGGACCAATAACGGGAGAGTTAAGTTTAAACCACAACTGCTCCCCAACAGTTATGGACCAATCAGATAGTAACATCTTTTCATACATATATTGTATACCGCCAAGTTGGAGTTAGTTTTTTCTGTTTTTCCTAAGCAGTCAAGATCCATGTGCACATGCTTATTTTGATACGTTAATGCATAATAAATTTCACACTGAAATATCTTAATATTTAGTCTTTTGTTTTCAATATACGAGAACACGTTTCGACAATGTGACTAAACACAATAACCACTTCATTAATTTAGTGCCTTCTCATGCCGTTTAATGCTTGCAGACTCTGCAGTAAAATGGTCAGTGGGTTTCAGTTTAGATGAGAAACACAGATTGTTATGGTAGCCCCCCTCACCAGGAGGGTGAGGGAGGACTGAGGTTGGACTCAAGTTTGCAGACCCAGGTGCTAGGGGGGAAAACATGTTGGTTGCTGGTTACAAAAGAACACAAAGTATCAAAAGAACATAACCAAGTCCAAGTATATAAAAGTCCGGGTAGAGTAGAGATGGTGGAGGGAAACAAACAGGTGAATCCAGGGACTGACGGCAAAAACCAAAAGGGCAGGAAGATGAAGACGGACAGGTGAAAGAACAAAAAGACCAGTGTACACAATCCAATCCACAGCACAGGAACTGTCAGCGTGGAAAACAAAGGCACGTATATAGGTTGTTGCTAACCGCCTAAGTGGTGTGATAGAGTCAAGCCAAAACGCACAGAAACTGTCAGCGTAGCATTCTATCCACACGTACATAACGCGGTACTTGGTTAATGTTCCAGCTGATCAGGAAGCAACAAGTCCCCATAGCTAAACCACAACATCATACTCTGCTTGTCTCTGCTTCTGAATATAACCCACAGAACGGGACGGTTGCAAGACCTCTGTCACCATAGAAACAATCATGAACACAGTTCCCGTTACTGACCCATCACAGCTCGGTCAGGTTTAGGCATAAGAACAGCCTAGTTAGGTTGTGGTTTCACTTCCCTAAGGTTACAGGACCTTCATCATTATGGAAACAATGATCAGCACACAGATGCGGTTGTGAAACAATCATGGTTAAAAAACAGTAGGTTTCACATGTTTTCTGATCCATGCATCCACTTTCTTGTCCTTCTAACGCAGACTTTGTCCCTCCATATGCTGATCACCTAACATCCTCCTTGGCTCATAACAACTGCCAAGGTGAGCAGAGGCTGCTCCATGTACCTGTCGGTCATAATAATCTGCTGGCACAAAGGACACATGGACTCTATGTGTATGAACTGAATGCCAACATTTGTTGCTGGAAAGTCAATTAAGAGACAAGGAGGGACTACAAAGAGATGCTAAACTAGCACAAACAGTCTCAAAACCTCACAGAGAGACATAGCCATGGTCAAAAGCTCCGATACAAGCCTGACAGTGGATCTTTAGCTGAGACTCCTGTATCTGCCGCTGTGCCAGCAAACCAAGCAGTCTGACAACAGTTGGAATGAATTTATTGCCTTTATCACTTATAAACTGTGTTTTATCCATAGCCACTGATCAGAATCTGACATCTGTAACATGAGGCTCAGGCAGTGACTTCCGTGTACCCGTGGGCGGTGTGTGAAACAGCCTGTCGTCAAACTGGACTGCTTATCAGTTAGATAACAGCTGAACTGGCCCTGAGCTGTAAAACGCTCCTCGGATCAGTCAACACACGTTTTCTCTCCGGGGTTTCACACTTTCTCCAACCCAGCCAGCTGAAGTTCAGTAGCATCGTGTTGTTTTCATGTAGATTCTGATTCAGGTCTGTTTAGATATTAATGCCGGGACTCAGATTCAAACCTCGGACTAGGTTTTTGAGGTGTTGGAAGTAGTTTGCCATGAACTGGTCACGTTTCCATTCACACTTTTGTACAAAATTTTACTGAATTTCCAGGAAGTGGTTAAAAAAAAGTGGCTTAATGTTTCTATTTGCTGCCGTTGTGTGAATATCAGGAGCATCACAAACAACAAACTCACATTATTTCCAACACGGCACCAAGATGTTAAAGGGAAATAGTGAAACACGTGAGACCCATCTGTTTTCAACACACAGCTCCAAGGGCTAAGAACTGCCATCACTTTGTACACTGTCTGAAGAAAGGAGGAATCCCTCATCTCTGTTGTGGTCCTGCTGCTCTGCCAGCTCCTCGCTGCACAGAACAACCTGTTGGAGCTGTTTGTTGGAAACAGATAGCTTCCTGTGTTTCCTGAGGAGGAAACCAGCCCCCCAGTGCAGCGGTGTGGCCCACTGAGGGGGAGGGGGTTTAATAGTTGGTGGGGAACAGTGGAGATCTACGGCACAGAGCGATAAGCTGGACCAGGGTCCGGACTCATTATGGCCACATTCACTGGGGCTAACTCACTATTTTCTGCCGTGTACTCAATGACAGTATGGCGAGAAGGAAGTCGGTGTGTTGCGGTGGTTCTGCTCTGGAAGTCACACTGAGCGTCCTGTTCATCCTCATGACGGCTGTGTGTGTGACGCTGATCGCACTGATGGCTACCTGGAAAACGCACGCAGGTGAGGACACATAGTAACAGTAGATAAACACACTGACAACCAGAACCGGAAACATAAAACAGAGACTTGCAGGTTTTGTTAAATAAAAACTCAAAATATTCATTAAAGCAGCAAATGTTGATTTATCTGAGGCTTAAAATTGTTCCTCAAAATACTGGGAAATGATTGTTTTCAAAATGAAACTATATATTTGTAAAATGTTTTAATTAGGTCATCTTTGGCTACCATCTATTGCTTTGCATTACACATGAGATTAATTGAAAATAAGAAACTATAGAATAACAAAGAACAAATTTACACCTTAAAATTGACTCCCAGCTTAATTTCAGTAATTATTTAAAGTAGCAATAACGAGACAACCTATAAAAATGTGCTGGCCCAACCACTCCCAGCTTCTCTCCTGGCCTTGACCCCAGTATATTTATTTGCCTTCTAGTTAGTTTACAAATGAAATTATATATTTGTGTTTTAAAGGTTTAAGTTTTCAGC